CTTCATCCCACTCCTCCTCTCTCAGGGGTGTAATGTTGTTCCCCAGCCACACAGAGTGTATGGACACCTGCCATAGAAGTACTAGAGCTTGGGTGAAGGCCTTAGGTTCTTGGTGGGTAGGTACAATCTTGGCCAGGACTGAACACATGTGGCCTCTAAACAGTCCGTTCCACTCATATCCGCTATGCTACTGGTTAGAGGAGGCCCTGGGTAGGTAGATAAAGGCTAGAAAAGATCTGACCTTAGGTTCAAGGTCTGAACGACTAGGGAGAGTGTGAAGGAAAAGGGGCTCCAAGGCGTGACACTGTAGCCCGAGTAGTGGCCGGACAAAGTCCCCGGAAAAGGCCCATACATTTGTGCAAAGATTTCTGCAAATCTGTCCCCACCCATTCAGACTCTCTGGTGGTGGACTCCATTTTTCTTGGCTCTTGTTTAAAAGATGCAGAAGTAGAGATGTGATTGTTTTAGGAAGATGTAAGGGCCAGCCAAAGGCCCCATGCCCCCAAACTCAGATCCAGGCTAAGTGGCTGTCACACTCTTCAGCATGAACAGTGACCTGTTCCTCCACAAACCCTCAGTCACCTTCCCCTATGACCTCAGATATATGTAGTGAGGCCAGGCAGAAGCTGTGAACGCAATTCCCCCTTCTCCCCAAATGAGTGGCAGCTCAGTTCGGTGGCATTTGACAGCTGGTAGGTATCTAAGGCAAGGCAGGGCTAGAACTACACGCTGGTCCCAAATAGTCCCACTATATTCAGCTTGCAGACACTAGACCTGGACTCAAGGACTGAAGGAAATGGGCATAATTAGATGAGTGCTGAGGGAACAGAGGGAAGAGTATGACCACAGAGCCAAGGGCACAGACCCAGAACACAGCCACGTACTCAGTGCCTTAGGCACCTCGTTCATCACCCGATCTTCAGCAACACACTCCATAAAAGCACATTACATCCTAATAGTCACTGTCGTGTATCTCAGGATGGAACCTACTCTACAAAGGTGAAGGACTCTAAGGGCTTGTTTAGAAATGTTTGTGTGTGTGTGGTGGTGGTGGTGGTGGGGAATCCCTGCCCTCTACAGCCAGGAGTCAATTATCCCTACTTGTCTAATAATGAAATTGAAAAGTAATTCAAAGCAACCCACTGGCTGCTTGCCCAGCTGCCCTCTGAGCTGTGCCAGGATACTCTTTGGGGCATGCTTCTGCCTGAGCAGCCTCACCTGACTCCATTCTGTCCTCCCTGACTGCAGTGGTTTGAATGAAATGTCCCCCCATAAGCTCAAGTATTTGAGCATTTTGTCCCCAGTTGGTGATGTGGTTCTGGGAGGTCTTAGAAAGTGTGGCCTTGCTGGAGGAAGCACGTAACTGGGGGTGGGCACTGAGAGTTCTCAATCCACGCCAAATTTCCAGTTGTTCTGTTTTTTGTGTCTGCCTGAAGACAGGACCACTCAGCTTCCTGCTCTGGCCACCACGCCTCCTCTACCATTACGGACTTTTATTTTATTTTATTTTTTGGTCTTTTTGAGACAGGGTCTCCCTGTAGCCCCAGCTGTCCTAGAACTCTCTATGTAGACCAGGCTGGCCTTGAATTCACAGAGATCTGCCTGCCTCTGCCTCCTTTAATCCTCTGCTGGAATTAAAGGTGTGAGCTACCATGCCCGGCTCATTACGGACTCTTAATCCCTCTGGAATTGTAAGCCAAATAAACTCTCCCTTCTGTAAGTTCCCTTGGTCATGGTATCTTATCACAGCAACAGAAAAGTAACTAACACTCCACCTGCCCATGCCTCCCAGCTCTCCTGCCACATACTGTGCTACTATGTCTTATACACAGCTGCATGTCTACATGTGAAATATTAAAACCTACAAGAAAGAACGTAAATAAAACCTGCTCTGAATGTGGCAGGTGGCCCAAGCGTGAGGACAGACAGGGCTGGGGTTATGGTTCCAGCCTATAGCTCCTGTAAGCAGGGCATGGAATGGCCGACTGACCTGGCCCAGCTTGTAGCTCATGTTGCCCAGCTCCCGTTCTGGGTTGATCTGCAGCAGCAGCTTGTCATGGCTGATGAGGGCACCTGTAAAACATCGACACTGAGCAGTGCTCTGCACACACAGTGCCAGGTGGCAGGGCACAGAGGTGCTGAGACACAGGGCTGCATGAGACCCTGCCTCATTTGGGTGTCCTTTCATGTGGCGGGATGGCCCAGCTGTGCAGAGGCCCAATGGGCCTTAGTTTTTTGCCACTTTGCATTGTGTTGAGCAGGCAGGTGGGCAGAGTAAACAATTGTTTTTTCACTGTAACAAAAGGAACTACACCCAGCTAACACAGACCTCATGTCACCTGTCCTCTGCCACGGTGCTCCGCTACCCTCCCTGGAGCATATGCTCTACTCTGAGCTCCTGCAGCACCCTGTCTACACCTCTCTCGAGATCCCTTCTCTTCTGCGTTCTAGAAGTCATTTCTTATCCATACTGGCCCAGGGCCTCTCCAGGTCCAAGTCCCTGGTCAGCCAAGTTCACAGTGCTCTAACTGAATTCCCAAAGAACCCTGGGATATGGTACCCTGCATTTTCATACAGGAACATTCCCGAAGAAAGCCTTCAAGGTGCTTAATTATAGCAACAAACTCATAAAAAATTAGAAGCTCATGTGACTGAAGCAGTTTGTTAAACAATAACAAAGAATGTGTGCATTCAAAGAAAAAGATTGGGGAGAAAGGAAGGCTGTTGGGGGAGAGTAAGTTCAACATATACTGTGCACTTGAATGAAATGTCTTTATGGGGCTGGAGAGACGGCTCAGCAGTCAAGAGCACAGGCTGTTCTTGCAGAAGGGGTTGAATCCCAGCACCCACATGGTAGCTAACAACCATCCATAATTCCAGTTCCAGGGGATCTGACGCCCTTTTCCGTCCTCCTTGGGCACTGCACAACACGGCTGTACTTATACACATACAAGCATAACACTCATACGCATAAAAAATAAAAACTGTCTTTATGTAATACTGTTACCACGTATAGTCGATGTCTAAAATGAAAAGAAAGCCTGGAACATCCCTTCCTTCAAGTGAGGTGACATAGCCCAGAGCTCACTGTGGGGCAGACCCAGGTTCAGCATGAGACTTATGAGTGGACAGTACACTCAGCATCAGCCTTCTGCTCGCCCACAGCAAGAATGCCAGTCCATTTAGTCCCAGCACTCGGGAGGCAGAGGCAGGCAGATCTCTGTGAGTTCAAGGCCAACCTGGTCTACATAGTGAGTTCCAGGACAGCTGGGGCTACAGGGAGACCCTGTCTCATAAAAACAAACAAACAAACAAAAAAAAATGCCAGTCCAGTCTTGTTCCCGCCCAAGTTCCACAGCCTGTCCCATACCTGTAGTCGCCGGCAAGAGAGAAGGGACTGGATCCCATGCCTGGTAAGCGTGGTGAGTGGCAATATTTTCTCTCTTGGAAACCATTTCCTGAATCTCTTGCTCTACAATCCCTCTGATCACACTCAACTTTCTCCCAAACCTAAAAGTCAGAACCAAGGTAAAGAACATTTTGCTTCCTTCAAAAATCCCGCCAGTGACAACCACCTGGATTTCCTTTGCTCTTGCCTGCAAGAAGCTGATGCAGCAGCAAACAAACCCAGCAGGCACGCATTCCCAACCCACCAATCTGTTCCCAAATACCCAGTGAACCTCAGACCACTTCAGGCTGAATCTCCAGCTTGTACTGGCCACAAAAATGGCTTTTGGATCTGTGCCCCTGTGGTAGGGCCACAGGCAGTTATTTCAGTAACAAAGGAGAGGGCCGGAGGAAGCTGAAGAGGGTGGGCCACCTCACCATCCCCTGCAGTAGGGTGTGGGCCTACACAGGCAAACCTGGTGTCGAGAGCTTTCAGGGGCTTGTTCCGGGGCTGTTGCTCCAAGCAGCTTACAGCTGGATTGCCAGCCACAGGCACCGTCATTGCACTGAGCACCAGGGATGTGATGGCCTGCACAGCTAGGACATGGATCTGGGTCCTTTCCGTGTCTTCCTAAGAGGAACAGTTCACGCATTGACAACATGACAGCAGGACACCAACTGCTCATCCTGCCTCCACTTCACACAGTGTCTATACCCACATGGCCTCAGAGGGAGGCATGAGAGCCCTAAGTGCCATGGCTTCCGAAGCCAGGGTCTTCAGTCCATGCTCACCTGGCAAGGGTAGCAGCCCCTCCATAAACCCGGGCCCTGGAGTAAACCTGGAGTGTCTGAGAACACAAAACTCCAAACAGGAATTTACCTTGAAGAACTGTTCTTAAATTTTCTTATCATTTTTAGCACTGCCTATGACAATCTTTTGGAATCCATGGATGAGTTTCAAGATGATCCTGATGATTTTAGCATACATTCTCCCTCTGACCTGTCATTTCTGCAAGGTCATTCCATAATGCTTTCAGAGTCAAGGGCTCATACCCAGGACTTTAATATCGCAGACTACTTTACCAGAGCATGGTTCTTATTCATGCCGTATCAATACAATGTATAGTAACAATAAGCTGAACAAAACCCCTGTAAGATAATTAAAAAATAAGCCAGGTACATGCACTGGCCTGGATTCACTGCTTTTTCTCACTTTAGTTTGACTCACATTCCTTCAGATACTGATAAACAAACAGAACTCAAAGTTCATTTGTCTTATGTTTTGAGACGGTCTTACTATATAGATCAGGCTGGTCTTGAACTCACAGAGAACTGCCTGCCTCTGCGCTCTGAGTGCTAAGGTTAAAGGCATCAGCCATGCCTTGCTCTCAAAGGGATTGTTAAGCAGAAGTACAATCTTCCTGACCATTAATATGGACTATGCCATAATAAGAGACGCACCCCAACCACTGCTGGCCTCAGGCTCCAAACCTGCCAGGTTTGTCTTTGCTCTCAGCCATCAGCTGGAACAAGGTCTACTGCCAACACAAAGCCACCAGCTGTCATAGATATTGGTTCCCAGCTAGCCAACCCCCAGTCATGGAAGCCTCACCTCTGGTGGGCTCTCTTCCTGCTCCATCACCAGGGGCTGGGTCACCAAGACACCAAGAAGGGTGGCCCAAGTTTCTTCAAACTGGGTACGACTGGTCCACCCTGGAAATCAAGCATTACATTAGACAATCCCTCCAACTTCCCAAACCCATGAGTGGACACACTGGTGCTATGATAACTCTGTCAGGACTGCTCCCAGGACACCACCTTCACAGCAATCCTACAACATAAGGAATATTAGTCTCTACATTTTACCATCAAAGACACCAAAGCACATGGAAGTGAGCTCTGCCGCCGAGGCCAAAGGGCACAGGCTGAGTCCTGTTTGATCCCTGATTGTGTGGCACAGTGACAAGGGTATCCACACAAACTTCATTCAAGCAGGTCAGGTCATTTCTACCCACCAGACTTTAAGAGTTTCTCCTTGAGGCCAACCATGAGACTGTGCACACCACACCACACAACTACATACATGAAAATTCTGTCTCCAAAAAGCTAGTGTGATTAAGTGCTGAAAGCAGGATGACTCACTGGTGAAGGTGCTCGCCAACAATCCTGACAATCTGAGTTCAATCCCTGAGATGCACACGGTGGGAAGAGAAAATCTGGCGTGTATGTGTGGACCCCTCCATGAATGAATGAATGCATGCATGTATGCATGCATGCTAACAGTGAAAGCCACCTAGAAGATGGATCAGAAAAGCATGCAATTGAGCTGGGCACACTCCAGCATGTAGCAAAGGCCATTCAAAAGGCTATTCTCCAGGCTCACCAAAGGGCTACATTCAGAGTAGAGTTCAACAAATGACTGTGTTTAGTGTTCCCACCGTCACTCGAGGAGAGCCACAGTCCTGACGGTGAGGTCAGAATTAGGGAACGAGGAAAGGAAAACACCAACAAATGACAAACCTTCTTGATACACGGATGTGACTCAGATCCAGGTGGACAGAGAAACCAGGAGACAGACCTAGATGATAATCACCTAATCACCAAAGAGGCCAAATGGGCAGGAGCAAAGGCAAATTGCAGAGAGACTGTAGAACTGATTTATCTATAAAGCCAACTAACAACTCAGGAACTACTCAAGGAAGATGTAAGGTGAGTAACCATGCCGGGCGTGGTGGCACACACCTTTAATCCCAGCATTTAGGAGGTGGAGGCAGAGGCAGGAGGCGGATCTTTGTGAGTTCAAGGCCAGCCTGGTCTCTATAGCGTATCCAGGCTGGCTGTGGCTACAGCAGGGAGACCCTGTCTCAAAAAAGACAAAAAAGACAAGAAAAAAGAAAACGAAAAAGAAAATGAGGAATCAGACAAGCAGTCTGCGGTCAGGCTGTACTGACAAGGTGAAAGACAGGACCCTCGAGGGAGCTGCCCAATTCCTCATTCCATCGCCCTCAGGACAGGGTGACGAGCTGTCTGGCTGAAGTAGGAAGTCAAGGCAAGGTGTCTGCTGCTGTAATCTTCTGGGACCAGAATGAAAAACCCTGTAGAAGCTCAGAGTGGACCAGGCAGTAGAACCCAAGATTAGACTGGCCTTCCAGAAACACCCCCGGGGGGGGGGGGCAGAGCCATTAGGATTCCGAGATTATAACTGCACTACCACATGTATACCTGCAGTCAGAAAACAGGGACAAAAGAAGCAATCTCAACTGTGCATTGAAAACAGAAGGACCTGAGAGAACGCGCTCTGCAGCTCACTGGGCATGGCGGCTGTTCTTCATCTGCAGAGCTTCGCCAGTCCCTCAAAATGGAGCACAGTACCAAGGGTCTTGGCATTAAGAGGACCCGTCTTACACCGTTCCGAGGGTGAGCAGGGCGGCCTGACCACATCCATCTTCTCTCCTATCACCCTGTGTCCTGGAAGGGCATGCCTGGGACCCTGCTGCTACAGTCCTAGCTCACTGCAAGCATGAGAGAAACCCCCTAAGAACACAAGGTCAAAGTCGCAAACACAAGAAAATATGAGAAAATCACTTCCACCGCATCACAGACTTTCTCCTGCTGCTGCTGTAGCCCTGGAGAGTAAACCCAGACACAACAGGCAAGCACTGCACCAGAGCCGCCCTCCCAGCACACTCGCACTATTCAGTCTACGTGCACACTATGAAGACAGCACCTGCCTTCTTGTGAACAATTATACGTGTACTTGCCCTCTCTTCAAATAAGTCTAGCATGCAACACCCTGCCCTCCCCATTATTCTCAAGCACGTGCACACAGATCAAATTTCTCAGTGTAATAAGGTTTTATACATATTGCAAAATGCATGGGAGGTTTATGTCATTATCAACCCTGGAACCTTTCTAGCTGTCAAGTGAGATGGCCCTGACTTGCAGCTTTAGGTCTCCTGTAGTGGTGTGTCAGGGTCCTGGGGAAGGCTGTGGGGTACCTAGGGTGTTGATGCGGTAGATGAACTCCTTGAAGATCTCTTTCTCCTGGAGGAACTCTACAGGAATCTCAGGGAACACTGTGCCAAAATCCCCTCCAGGCTTGGGTGACCACCCAAGTTTCCATACCTGAAAAGATGAAAAGGGGGGTATTACCTGGTGGGTGGCCTCAAGAAGCCAGGAGACACCTCTTTCTCTCAGCTAGCCTCCTTCTGTCAGCGGTCCCTCCCCACTCAAAGCCTTTTCCAGACCCGCTGCCTTCCCAGAGGAGGTTCCCACCCTTTGCCAAGGGCCTTCACCACCAAGCGTGCCTCCTACCACTCGGCCCCCATCCCCAGGCCAGCCTACCACCTTCCTGACAACTACCCACACACCCCTTGCATTGGCTGTGTAAAGCTGGATTCCTTGTAGGAGATGTTGGTGTCCACAAACATCAAATGTCAAAAAAAATGCAGATGCTAAAGGAACTGTCAGTGTATAAATGTGCATTTCCAAGTAGGCATAAGGCCAAACCCACTGTTAATTTGAGAAGCTCTGATCAGTCCAGTTCTGCCATTAGGTAACTAGACAGGCACTATGGACAGAGGGATCCACGAGGCAGACCCTATACTGCTCCAGCAGCATCAGCATCTAGCCAGCTCAGCTATGTGCCTCAGTGAAGCCATGTAGACTTAAGGGAGCCACCCCAGATCCTGCAGCCAAGCTCTTTCACCAGGGGAGAGCCCTCTATAAATCTCTTATGCCACCCACAGAACTCAGTGAAGCACATCCAGGGGATGTTTGGTGGTGCTTGTCACAGTTGCCTTCCAGCCAGGGCACTCTGGGGAGTGAATTAAGGGCACTTACAGAGTTTTGCCTAGAGTACACAGCCTACGAAGGTAGATTCCCAAGCACCTTCCGGACATTATGCCCTTCAGACTATGCTTTCTTGCAGTCTCCCAAGCCTCACCAAGTTCTCTGAGCCACACACTGCAGACCCCATAATGACTGTTCCCGCCCAGGGTTGAGCTCCACAGAGTAAAGCTGGATGACCCTGACTTTCTGTGCTCTCTTCCCGGCATCCCACAGTTCCCTGCTCCACAAGTACTTCCAGCACTCTCTGCATCCCTCAGATCCAATGAACGCCACTTCCCGGCGTGAGCTTCCTCAGGACCACGCACGCACGCACGCACGCACGCACGCACGCACGCACGCACAGGCTGTGACCTGGCAGCAGGCATTTGCCTCTTCTACAGAAAGAAGCACCTCCCTTGGACACTAGCCCTGTACCTGTTCTTTGCTGTGGGTCAGCCTTCCTTTCTGGCTGAGGACTTTTGTAGCCAAGGACATGTCTGGCATTCTATTAGCAGACAAGGGGGAATGATAAAAACTTCCTGAGAGCTTAGCTACTGTCAGCCTCCCCATGCCAAGTTCTTTCTGTGGCGTGGAACAAGAATCCAGCTCGATAATGCCTATTTTAAGCGGATTCTGAGAAAATTTAAAAATTCACATCAGGGGCTGTATCCAAATGCGTGAATCTCCTCCAAGGTGACACTTTTGAAAGAAAATATTTCAGTGGTAGAATGTTTAGCTTTCGACTAATTAGTCTAATTAATTTAGAATCCCACCCAATGAGACTATATCAGTGGAGATAAAATCTACCTCAGTTCATTTTAGAAAGCCCAGTATTTGTTACTAACAACCACTATAAACAAAATGCCTGTGGCACAATACAGATGTCACAATCATTACATGCAGCAAGATGCTAAAATTATCCTTAGGGAGGTGGCAGCCATCAAGATTCTGCGGTAGGCTGGGCTTGTACACCTGTAGTTAATTCCAGCACTGGGGAGGTAGAGAAGAGAATCCTGGCTACATACCATGCCAAATGCCATCCTGAGGTGCACACAGCAAGATCTTCTCTCAAAACACTAAGGGCTAGGAATGCACCTCAGTGATGGGACACTTGCCTCACGTCAAGGCCCCCAGTATGCTGCCACTCCCTGAGCCCCGAATCCCCCGGCAAAGGATGGTTTCATCCTGTGGTTTGCCCAACTCTGCGCTACCTGGACACACTGCTTATCTCAATTCAGCAACGGAGGGAGCTGGCTCACCAGTGGGGGCACACGCGTGTAGCTGTTGACTATGGGGAGGCGGGCCAGACTGACTACGATGTTCTTGAGTACTGCTGTAAGAAATGAGGGCACACTGCTGTTCCTCTTGTGGCCCAAGGCGAGCACCGACTGCAGGGATTCCACCATCTCTGCCACCATCTCGCAGGCCGACGTGATGTAACTGGGATCTACACAAGCAGCTGTGGTCAAGAGGGCAGTATTTGTCAAAAACACAGTGCAATCCTTCCACCCTTCTTCTGTATGCCCTGTGGAGGTGGCACCAGTTAGCTGACCAATCTACCTAAACATCACTGAAGGCCTGAAGTTTTATCTCCTTAACATTCATCCAAATCGTGCAATTCTCTCTCTTTCTGCTAGGACTACAGCAGTGCTTTTGAACCTGAGCTCCAGCCTCAGACAGAAACTCCCAGGGCTAGAGAGATGCTCAGTGGTTAAGAGCACCAGCTGCTCTTGCTGAGGACCTGGGTTCATTCCCAGCACCCACATGGTGGCTGACAACCATCCTTAACTCCAGTTCCAAGGAATCTTAACACCCTCTTCTGACCTCTAGGGGCACTGCATGGCAGGGTTCACATACACACATGCAGGCAATATACTCATACACATAAAATATTTAAAAAAAAATTTAAAACCCCAGAAATTTCTGAGGCAGAGTGATGAAGAAAACTCCAGAACCACCACTCTGCCCTAACAGGGTCTTGAGGGCAGGAACTGCTCATGTTCACCCTGAGTCTGATTAAAAAAAAAAAATCACTTGTGTAGTTGGTAGCTGTTTAAGAAGCGGGACCATGCCCCTCGTCTGAGATTCAGCAGTGTGGGCAACTTCCTAATATAGAAAAGAGACCCTTACTGAGCTTAAGTAATCAAGTTCCAAGCTAAGAGCAATAATGCTTATCAGATGATCTTTAAGAAATATTGACCTAGAGACAGCCTGAGAGGGTGGGCTCCGGCCTCCATTGGTGTAGCGGCTGTGATCTCAGCACATTGCCAGAGAATGCCGGGTTCTGGTCTCCCTCTGGCACAGGGGCTGAGAACTACCTGCGAGTGCCTGGATCCTGCCTCCACACGGTGCTATTAAAATACCTGAAAACAAATCCTGAGTCCATCACTCTCAAGTCCAGCCTTGGCAGACGAAAGAAAAATGAGGAGGAACGCAAAAGAGGGAAGCTTTAGGAAGCTCTCGTCAAGAAATCCCAATGGACTCTGACATGAACATTTGAAATTTGCCTTGTTCTGACTTTTTTCTGGTTCCCTGTCTAGAACTTGGAATGCTAACTACTCTTGCTTTTACTTCTCCTTCCCATCCCCTATTCACCAATCAAGGACTTTCTTTTCTCCTTACAGATAAGAATTATGCAATTTGGGAGTCTCTTAGATAGACCCACTGGAGGGGTACCCCAATTGCCTCACCCTGTGTCCCTGTTCAGCATGGAAGCCAGAGCGGTCTGTCCCTATCAGCAATTTGGGTAACCCCTTCAGAGGATGGCATGATGAGAATAGGAGGTAGGAATTTGCTAGGCAGTTAGGGTAAAAAAGACCCCAAAGAAAAGTAGCCAAGTTTCTTGGCTAAAAGTCAAAACGTCCTTGGGTCTCTTAGCAACATACTCTTATTCCAAAGGCCAAAAATGTCAAAAGTATTTATTTGAGAGCTCTTATCTAATCCCTAAAAGATTTTAGGGTTACCTCTTCAGAGGGGAAATATTAGAGTAGCAAAAGGCCCCATTGAAAAAGAGAGAAAGAAAGAGGGGGGGGAGGGAGGGAGGGAGGGAGGGAAGGAGAATATATGAAGTTGTCAGAAAAATGTGATGGGGAAATATGGGAGGTGTTGGAGGGGAGGAAGTGGGAGTGGATTTGATTAAAACACCTTATATGTATGTATGAAATTCTCAATAAAGTTTCTTTTAAAAGTTAAAAAAAAAGTAATGTTGAAATAAAATAACTTACGTAGTTACTTGGTAAATTATTAACAACAGAACTGATTTTTAAAAAAACCGATGTAGCTTATAAAAGTTTTTATTCAATAAATTACAACATTGTGAGGAGAAGAAAAAGAAAAAGAGGTATCAACCCAGTGGCTAGAGAGATGGTTCAGAGGTTAATAGTGCTGCTCTTGCAGAGGACCCGGGTTTGGTTCCCAGGACCCACAGGGTGGTTAACAACCTTCTGTAACTCCAGTTTCAGGGGACCCAGCACCCACTTCTGTTTTCTGCAGGCATTGCACACACATGGTGCACGTACATATGTGCAGGCAAAACACTCAGATAAAATAAAAGCTAATTAAATTTTAAAAAGAATTATCAGCCTATGGAGGCAATAGAAAAACAAAACAGAAACCAAACCTGAGCGTCCTCTGGCAAGGATTAAATTAACCAGTGGAAAGAGGCTCACAGAGGATGAGCACAGTTCCATCAGGCCGAATCAAGTCAGCTCCAGCCACTGGGCTGCCTGCTTTCATGATGTACATTTGCTCCAGAGCTTTACGTGACCTGATTCACGTGTCCTCATCTTGTCCGCACAGCAGAAGCACAGAATACCCTGAGCTGCTGCTCGGCTCGGGGGGAATCCAAAGGTTTCCTTTCTTTGGGTATCAACAGGAAACCATGAAGTCAAAACTGAACTGCAGGCAACTAAAAGGGCTCAAGACAGAAACCAAGAGGCTGGGTGTGGTGGTGCATGCATTTAATCCTAGCACTCAGGCGGATCTCTGTTTGAGGCCAGCCTGGTCTATCTAGTGAGTTCTAAGGACAGCTGGGGCTATAGGGAGACCCTGCCTCAAAAAAAACCCAAAAAACCAAAAAACCAAGAAAAAAGCTTGGTAAGGCACTGAAGCCTGAAGCGGTGTGGCTTAAGGGTCACTGTACAACCACAGAACCTTGGACCAGGAGCCAGAATACTCTGGACAGGAAAACTATAATTTTATACATATATATATATATATATATATATATATATATATATATATATATTTTCATATATCTTTCGTGGGTGTGTGTGTGTGTACTT